AGCCCAGCTAGTAACTGTCGAGAAAGCTAAAAATAGGCTCCACTGCAAACCTCAAATGTGCACAAGTGATTATGTCACATCCCATACTATTTACCAATTTTCGTGTGTGTGTGATCACACATACATAGGGAAGAGTAATCGCGCTTTGCATGTGAGGATGGAAGAGCATATCCCGGAATAGTTAGAAAAACAAATGAATTGTGAAAAACCAATAGATGCAGGTGTCAGACTACCAACTTCGTCTATAGCTAAACATCTAATGGAGATGAAGCATAAGATTGATGTTAACTCAGCCTTTGAGGTCATCTATAAATGCGGTCAAGGGCGCTTCTTGAAATATGCTGCGGCTATAGCTATTCATAAACTTAAGCCCCCCTTGTGTATTCAAAACCAGTTTATTGTTACTCTTAACCTACCTTGGTAACCCTTATTTGATTGGATTACCAAACGTTGTTTTGATTGGACACTAGGAACTAGTGTGACGTTTCTAGTCCTTTGTTTGGTGCAGACTGAATTTTATCAGTCAGGTTTGCAATGTGGCCACCATTCTAGGTAGTTGGAAATCACGGGGCACATTGATTTGATGATATTAGATGGTTGGAGGCAATCGGCCACAGCAAGCCTTGCTCGACCCAGGTTTCGTGCTAGTCGATACTCATCAGCAAGGCTTATCTGCAACCTTGAAGGAACTCATGTCCCTGCTTCTGAGATTCCAACCCGCGTCACACTAGTTACTGACTGGTGTACAATCAAAAATATCCAATACAGTCCTACAGGAGGTCAATCACGAGCCCGAATAGCTTAGTGGTAACGTCTCTGACTGCAGCCGGAACTGGGTGACACGGGTTCGAATCTCAGAAGCAGAGACATGAGTTCCTTTAAGGTTGCAGATACAACTTGGTGGTGTGTGCCAACTAGCACGAAACCTAGGTCCAAGGCTTCCTGTGGCCGGTTGCCTCCAACCATCTAATATTACCAAACGTTGTGTTAATTATTCTTAATTCTTTTTTTGTCACTTTGTTTAATTTAACTTTTCCATATATATTGACTTGACAAGTAAATGTGTGAGGGATCAGATTGTTCGAATTGTATAGGGCAAATACATCATTTATATAAGAATAAAGGTTGTGCACTGTGGTAGAGTATAATTCCATAATGGGTAAATACATCACCTTTTTCAGATAATCTCAATCTTTTAATATTGCTATCAAAATTTATAAAAGTGACTTATGATTTGATTTTGTTTAGAGTGTTTGCAGTTGAAGAGAATCTATGAAATAAAACGAGTTAGTACTATCCTACAAATATGTTCGTTCCAACTGATAAATCAAATCGCTTGTATAAAATATGTACGTTTTATTGTATAACTAGGTCACATAACTTTCTCTTGTACTGTGGTGGTGTATAATTGTGTAAATGAGCGTACTGACTCGCCATACATTTCTTTCTAAGTAAGTTTCCTTGCAAACATCGATGTGTTTCCCTGGTATATATATCCGGTATTCACGATAATGCATTACACAGATTTACTTATTTTGAAATATAAACCTATTTTATTTAAACAAATGTTGCTCTTATCTAACATAAATTACAAATTCAAGCTACATAATTACCAAATGTTCCTCCACTCTGTTTAACTAAAAATCAGACATATATCTTGTATAGTCATTAGTAGGAGATTAAATATAACACCTGTGAAAGCTTCGGTATCATTCTACCTTCACAAAAAACACTTTAACAAACGAGCGGTCTTTACCAAGCAAATTAAGTAAAGTTTGTTAAATTAAATGTTTTATTTAATTCCGACTGATTGATTGATTGGACCAAAGTGTTCGGCCTCAGATTGACATGTTTGATCCTTATGCAAATGTGTCGATCATGTCGGATCGTTAAACTTGAAGAAAACTGATTGATGATGACTAGTAGTGGAATACAAAAGAATGCGCATTTCTTCCTGCGTAGGATGCACTTGCACTCCCCAATTAGTGGGTGATGGTGCCGCGACTGAGTTTCAGATTCAGCGCTCTTTGGTTTCAAACACCAAAGCAGATCCCCTACACTCCACGACAGCCGCCTATTTTCGCAACAGCTTTAAAACTATGCGTAGTGGGTTTGAGCCTCAGTGGGAACACCATCATTGACTCACTGGGGAATAATACAGGTAAATCCAGATGATGTGTCCCATATCGGACGGAATGAGCGTCTTGGTGGATTCCACTGCTAATCACCACTCATCAGTTTAAATGTTTTACTTAGAATTACTTGAAATACTTCACACACTTGTTTCTTTTTTATGAATTGTGAATAAAACAAGAACGACAGCTTTTGTAGAGTAAGATAGTTCCATCATTTATCTCGTTGACCTGTCATCAGCTACTCACAGTTTAAAGAAATCGCCAAGTTTATACACGGAAAAATTTTTAGTATACTTCCAAATATTACATGAGATCAGTTGACAGGGTACTTCAAATTCAAAGAACAGTATTCAGAAAGTTCAAGTTTAAACAAGAAATAAATATTTGCATACAATGGTGAAGGAGTTACGTAATAAAGACATGAAGTGAATAAAATTTTGAGTGAGGTCAACTCAAATCGTAGAAACAAGATGCAAGCAAAGTTACATCATATCAAAAGGGGTAGCTTTAGAAGACAAGGATCACATAATCAAATGAAAGAAAAAGTAGAGACATTCACTCATCAGGACAAGGAAAGACTGATAACTGATTCTTTGAGTACATATAAATCTGCTCCCAGGCACTTGCTAGTGATTGCTTCGGTTGACGCATTTGAGGAGAATTGAACTATTTCTTCGACTGATAATTTAAAGGATTTCATGATATCTACCTCATGATCCATATCGACGAGATGTCTTGTAGTGCCACTACTGCTAGAGTCTGTTGCCTTGTGAGGTAGGCTTTTTAGTATATGTTCAGAGAATCAAAGATATGCCAATCTTTCTTTTCTGCCTTTGTAATTGTTGCTGTAGATACATGTAAATTTTCTATATATAGTTAGAATTAATATGAGAAGGGTATCTGTCAACCTTTCGTTGTATCAAAGACCACGTCATCTAATGGTTGAGAACCAACTTAGTTTCAAGATACGTCCTGGATAGTGAGGTATTTAATCTTCTTTTGACTATTCCTGGAAAATTATTCCCTTTAAAGTAAAGTTGAATGAAGATAGGCTTTTCCCCCAAAGTGTGGTTTGTTTGGAATTCGAGCCCTCGCATCTTCCATACTTGTTACTAAATCCCTAAAGGCAACCGTTGTTTTTCAGCATCTATTTTAGAATTAGTAATTCTTCCTCTAATTTGTTTGTACAGCGTCTTCTACTGGGCACTGTCATTGTATTTATTTCCCTATTAATTTTGTTTACCATATATTTTGGTGTGGTTGTGTTCTCTGAGCTGGTTAGTTAATTTGCGAAGCTTTCATCGCCTGTGTAATTAGCATAAAAATAGTTCAGTTATTCTCCCATATTTGTAATCTTATGATGACATTATTCCCATTATCTTTTAACGTTCAAATATGAGATAGAGAAAACACCAAGAATGCAAGAGAATTTTTTGAAGCCCGTCTGGTATACTAGTGAATCGTCAATCAATAGACACACCAAGGTAGACAAAATTCACCAATCGATAAGAGTAAAATCTCAAACACATAGAGTCAATGTTCAAGTCAAGGAAACAATCTGTTCGAAGACAAGTAGCCCAGAGGGTGTGGAAACACACAAAAACAACCAACCACGTTAGGGTCACTCACCAGGAGAGATGACTAATAAACTCCTGGAGAAATCTAAAGCTCACTCCAAATTGAAGTATGCTCTGAAGATGTTGTCTAGTAGGGCGATGAAAGCTTGGCAAATAAACTATCCAGCTCAGAGAACACAACCACATCAAAATCATCCAACTGAGCTACAAATCTTGTTTATTATATATGTCACACATAGAGTGAAATAGTATCACTGTTTACTGCATGGTTAAGTTTTGAACACAATTCGTGGTTGTTCATTATCACATCATCAATTATAACTGCACGACTCCGAAACTTCCGTTTTATAATTTCCTTTATTCTCTCCTGTTCGCCATCGTAGAGGTAGTAGAATTTCCCAGATGTTCCAGTGGACAGGTGTTGTATCATTCCTATTACACTCCCTCCACCCTGTGACATTAGATTTTAAGACTGTCATTTTATCCCATCCTATTCTATGGTTGTGTGTAATTGCATACACTGCTACAAAGCTGGACTGTTCTAAAGATTTCTTATCTTATTCGGGTCAACTAATCTAGATTTTGCTAGGCTTTTGTGCTACGCTAATGTAATTATTCGTATCCAATTATTACTTTGATCTGACAGTCATTACAGGCAGTCAGGCTATGAGGTGAACTAAACTGTTTTGTTTAGCGGACTGTTCGACAGGATCCTTTAACTGACAAAGCTTGTTTTTAATTGATTTTACAGGGGGTTTGAATGATACTTTTATTCCTGCACTGTTAAGAATTCTGCGTAAGGCTTCCAAGGTTCCTTCTTCATGTAGAGGTACTACTTATGATTTAAATTCCTTGTTGTTGGTGTTTTCATTATCCTGCGTATGTTTGACATGCATGTCATCACTAATATTATTACTATTATTATCATTATTATTGTTATTAATTTTATTTTTGCATTTCCGGTAGGGACAGCGGTTGGATGTATTTCCAAACGTATTTTTACATTTCCCTACATATTTCCTGACTAATTTATCAGGGTAATTATTGATCAAGTTTCAAAGCTTCTCTAAAATGCCTAACTTCCTGTCTTAGATTTTCTTTGGTACTACTTAGCTTTTGTGCCCTATCATTTAAACATTTTACCTATCCTATTTTTACCAACACAGGGTGGAATGATCAGAAATGCAAATATCGGCTTGAATGTATGGAGGTACTGTAAACGCTAGTGTTTAATTTTCCATCTTGTTTCATTTTTAGGCTAAAATCTAACACTGGATGCTCCCTTTCCTGACTTACCAATTCATCAGTGAAATGAACTGCCTCTGCCTTCAAAAGTTTCTGATTTGTGGAGTTACAAATGATGATCTAATTATGAACCACAATCAATTAAGTTCGAAAGACTGTCATCCAGTAAATGGTACTAGTTCCATGTGTGATATATATATCTAATAAGCAAATTAATATGCAACGAATTTGATGCCTTGGTGTGATATACAGACTAACTGAATTCCCCCAGTTGACAACATCTGACAGTATTTATTAAAGTTTGTCTTTAATTTCAGAACTGAATTGCTTTTGATGTTGTTGTGTTCTCTGAGCTGGATAGTTAATTTGCGACGCTATCATCGCCCCACCACTAGGCGACATCTTCAGCCCGCATACTTCAGTTTGAAGTGAGCTTTTAGAAATCTCCACTAGTGCGTCGGTGGCACAGCGGTTAGGACGCTCCCCGACAAAGCAGGTGGTGCGGAGTTCGACTCTCAGACGACGCACATCTGATATCAATGCTAGGGCCGGCTAAATTTGGTCTACCGATATCATGTGTTGAAAATTCCATACTTGCTAATAAACTCGTAGAGAAATCTAAAAGCCCACTTCAAATTGAAGTTTGCGATGAAGATATCGCCTAGTAGGGTGATGAAAGCGTCGCAAATTAACCATCCAGCTCAGAAAACAAAATTACATCAAAATCATCCACCTGAGCTACAAATCTTCCCTATCATATCTAAACTGAATTGCTTCAATTCTTGCTCTTCTTCTATTCTCCTGCCTTATAGGCTCAACCTTATCATTCTGTTCACCGCCAGGAAAATCCTGTTCAGTATATCGTCCATGCTGTGGTCGAGATTGGGTATGTAATCGAGGTAGTGCTGCTGAAGGAAAATGTGTTCAATGCGCTCAATCAAATAGACCATGTCAACATGCAAATGATTGTTGTCGAGGTGTATGCGTATATGGTACATGTAAACTGATGGGATTTTTAAGTGAAGGTTAAAAATAAACTTACGAAACTTAGAGACAAAACAAAAAATCAAGAAATTTATTGACTTTTCTTACTGCTCAAATATACACATTTTATTTTCTGTCTTCTCAACCAAAACCAGAAAAAACGCAAAAAAAACAAACAAAAACGATTATGCTGATGGATGATGGGAATTATTTTTTAAGAAATATTAAAAACTAAAAAAAGAAGAAATCACAAAAATCCCCCCCTCATATTCATATTGTATTTTATAATAATTATTATCAATTTATTAAATAAATTGGTATTTGGTGTAATTACTTCATTGATTTTTGTTCAAAGAAATTTGTGATATGAGCTAGATAAAGTATAGCCAAGTAAGAAGTCATATTGTTATTATTACTATTATTAGTATATCCTTTAATTCCTAGAGGAACATAGGGATTCAGCTATGCACCTCCAGTGTCTTCGGTTTTCTGCCAAATTTTTCACCCCGCTCCAGGTCTGTCCACATGCTTTCATCTCCTCCTCGCATGACCTCCTCCAAGTCACCCTTGCACTGACGACCAACTCGCCGCTTCCCCTTCGGGATCCACTCGAGCAATGGCTTGTCTAGTGATATCGCCTGATGGTTTCCTCAGAGTGTGGCCAGCTAATCCATCTCCATATCTTCCTGCCTATTTGTTTCACAATCGGTTCCTGCTGAGTTGCTTCGCTCAATGCTAGAGATCCCTGTTTCTGATCTTTTCTGGCCAGCCATCTGATCTTGAGTATTGAGCGAAGACAGCTGTTGATGAAGGTTTAAAGTTTGTTGGAGATGCTCTTTATGACGCGCTGGCCAAGTCTCTGATCCGTATAGTGAGTAGCACTGACTGACTACACGTTGGAGTTGAAAATCCGGATCTTATTTTTGACGGCGAGTGATGTTGACTTCCACACAGATTTAAGAGTAATGAAAGCTTGTCTTGCTTTTCCGATTCTGCGTTTGATATCCTCGTCAGTTTCGTCGGCCTGTAGTTGGTAGGTAGGTAGGTAGGTAGGTAGGTAGGTAGGTAGGTAGGTAGGTAGGTAGGTAGGTAGGTAGGTAGGTAGGTAGGTAGGTAGGTAGGTAGGTAGGTAGGTAGGTAGGTAGGTAGGTAGGTAGGTAGGTAGGTAGGTAGGTAGGTAGGTAGGTAGGTAGGTAGGTAGGTAGGTAGGTAGGTAGGTAGGTAGGTAGGTAGGTAGGGCCGGCAATAGATCTTCTTATTACGGAAATCAGCACGTATTTATATATATTTCATGTACATTATTATGGCTTATTCAAGCAAACAAACAAAGTCTTCTGATTACTTGTTTCTCGGTCAGGGTTATTCTGTACTGCTTGTGCCTGGTTACTCAGAAAGTTAAGCCATATATTTGCGAATCTTATTTGCCTACGTTAAGTCTGCTGTGATTGGTTGTTGAATCAGCCTTGTTCATATTTTCTCACGGCCAATATTAGTGACCTAGACATTGATGTAAATTAATGTCTACCAATTGGCTAGCAGCCTGCTCTCACCACACACTTATTCAACTCATTTTATGCTTTGATTAATTTTAAAAACTATCATTATCAAAACTCATCACGTTTGTAACTACCTTGGTTCATGAAAAGGAAATGGTATATAAGCACAACTGTACTTTGATTGGACACTAGTAACGAGTGCGATGTGTTTAGTCCTATCTTTGGTGCAACTGTATAACGATCCTTATATGTCTCTTGAATAAAGTTTGCATGCCACTATTTTTGTGTGCCATAGGGTTGCTGCTGGATAAAGTATAGCCAAGTTAGAAGTGATGGGCCATTGAATTTAAGTCCCCATGGCTGAATGGTCAACCAGTTCATCTTGTAACCGGAAGACCCTTGGTTCGAACCCCCCCTGTAGGTTAGTGCTGATGAAGAATCCTGAGTGCTATGACGAAACAGATGGCTATCCAGTATTCTAGTATTGGATTAGTTCAATATCAGTTTATTTATTTAGGCGTAATTCGGTGGAGTTGTGTTCTCTCAGGTGTATATTTTTTAGTTTGAACAAAGCAAGAACTACAGTCTTAGCAGAATAAAATGGTACCATCAGTGTTTATTTCGTTGCCTTCTCGTCAGCTGGCTGCTGACATGGCAGAGACATTATTAAATATATCTACAACAACAATTTTAACATACTTGCACAGAGTTAAGTTTTAACAAAAATCAATCGATCAGTATACTCATACACTAAAAATATATACATATATAAATAAGCAATATTAACCACTATTCCGAACAATAATAATCAAACACAATGGAAACTTAAAACAAGCAATAAAGGTTAATAAACCAGGAGGATTTAATGATGGATTCATCAAATTTCGGTAGAACTCGTCAGCTGAATACTCTACATACACGGATACACATGTATACTTTTGAAGTTACATTGGGAGATATAAGACTGATAAGTAAATAAACTACATTGAATTAGTCATGCAGAAAGACAGGTGGGAATATTTTCCAGGTCATGTTCAAATAGATAAGGCGAGAGAGAGAGAGAGTATGAGAGATCAAAATTAAGATAAATTGCATTACGCTTCAATTACATCACTTAGATAAACAATTAGTCATTAGGGAATATAACGAGAATTGTAAACAGACTAATATCAACTACTCGCATAATGGAGCATTTGCCAAAATAGTTGAAAGCAGCTGAGTGCAAAGTGCCAAAATCCTCAATAACAAAACATCTTGTGGATTACGGACATGACATCGACGCGGTCAAGTCATTCACCATTGTCAGTAAACAAAGAAACAAGAAGATGCTTCCAATTGCAGAGGCTTGCGCAATTCGAATTTACAAACCAGCTCTCTGTATACAAAAGCAGATGGTCGTCACTCTGAATCTACCATGGTAATACGTTTTACTTATTATTCTCTACTTGTTATTACTACTATTCTACCTCTTCTTCTTATTATCATTATTATTATTCTTGATTCATCTAAAACTATGCTTTATCAGTAGGATTATCTTAACTCACTTCAACACTTAAAATTGTTATTATAACTATTACTATTGATATTAGTCTGTTTACATTTCTCGTTATATTCCCTAATGACTAATTGTTTATCTAAGTGATGTAATTGAAGCGTAATGCAATTTATCTTAATTTTGATCTCTCATACTCTCTCTCTCTCGCCTTATCTATTTGAACATGACCTGGAAAATATTCCCACCTGTCTTTCTGCATGACTAATTCAATGTAGTTTATTTACTTATCAGTCTTATATCTCCCAATGTAACTTCAAAAGTATACATGTGTATCCGTGTATGTAGAGTATTCAGCTGACGAGTTCTACCGAAATTTGATGAATCCATCATTAAATCCTCCTGGTTTATTAACCTTTATTGCTTGTTTTAAGTTTCCATTGTGTTTGATTATTATTGTTCGGAATAGTGGTTAATATTGCTTATTTATATATGTATATATTTTTAGTGTATGAGTATACTGATCGATTGATTTTTGTTAAAACTTAACTCTGTGCAAGTATGTTAAAATTGTTGTTGTAGATATATTTAATAATGTCTCTGCCATGTCAGCAGCCAGCTGACGAGAAGGCAACGAAATAAACACTGATGGTACCATTTTATTCTGCTAAGACTGTAGTTCTTGCTTCCTTCCTTCACTGCAACTGTCTTTTAATTCCCTACGAAAAATAATTGTGTATAAATTCACTTGTACTGTAACAACAGATGACAAGGGTCAGGCAACAGATCGTTTTATTACAAAAATCAACACGTATTTTTTAAAATTTCACATGCATTATTATAGCCCAGTCAAGTAGACAAACGCAGCCTACTGATTGGTTGTTTTCGCGTTTCTCGGAAAGTGGAGCCACCTATCTGCGAATCATATTTGCCCACGTTTAAGCTTGCTGTGATTGGTTGTTGAAACAGCCTTGTTCATATTTTCTCACGGCCCATACTAGTGACCTAGACATTGACGTAGATTAATGTCAACCAATCGGCTAGCAGGCTGCTCTCACCACAGTACGACTGAAGTGGTAAATGAATTAGTCAAAGAAATCCTCTTCGCTGAAATGCATGTGTTATTTTCATCAGTGTCTGGATAAGGATTCCTCATAATTATATAAGCTGCGATGGAGTAAATGTTTCGTTAAGAATTAACATCACCCAAGGAATTCTTGGAAACCATGAGGCAGTCATTGGTGGAGCTAATCAAATTCATACAATTCCTAAATCTACATATCATACAACGAATTAAAGAGTATTATTAGAGTGAAAAATAAGTAAGGCTAACTATGAAAACATTTAGTAAGCTTAAAAGGGAAAGGGTAAAAATTTGACACCTAATGGGAAATTGCTGATGGTTGTAGTACAAGCATCTTTAGAGGATGGTGATCACTGAACATCATATCTATCACTAGACACGAATTGATGATTCATAATGCAAATACCCTTAGCAATCCTTACCATATTACAGCTAATGACACAACAAACAGTAATCACCAACAATAGAATGAATCCAAGTGGAGTTATCTCTTTTACTTTACTGAATTAGGCAACAGCCTTTCAACCACCAGTGGCACACACGAAGATGTAAAAGCCAGTCAGAAATGCGGAAAGTAATACATGTAGTGTATATTAGTTTGAGGTCTGTTGTGAGAACAAATACTCGCCATGGGTGGATGACGTTGGCTAGTGCCAGTCGTCCTATTTTTTTCTTCCTTCACCTACCCAGTAGAACATAGGGGTTCAGGCTAGTTGCTTAAAGTTTCTGAAGCGGTGTTTATTTTTACAGGGTGGGTTTGCTAGCCTCATGTCCAACCTTTCCTCTTCACCAGCTTTTACTTCCGGCTGAGTGAGGTAAACGAGTGCGGCGGCCGTGGATCGAACCCTGGACCATGTGCATGCTCGGCGAGCGTCCTAACAGCTATGCCAGCGACGCAGAAGTTAGAATTCCTGGGCAGTTCATTGGATTGAGTCCCAGTGGCTGCTTAATCTTCTTAGACCTCACCTTGTAACCAGAAGTTTCTGGGTTCAACCCCGTTGGTAGGTGTGTACTGCTAAGGAATCCCAAATTAGGCTGATGAAATAGCTGTCCAGTAATCCAGTGCTGGTTTTCCAACAGTTCTTTAACCGATATCAACTAATGATGAAATCCTGTAACCAGTCGAATCACTGAAAACAAACAATCGAATCTGAAACATGTATGGAGATTGACAACCCTCAGCACACGACGAATATTAATGTCGAGGCAGTGATTCTTTTATGGTCACGAGACTTTGTGAACACACCAACAAAGGCAATTCCAACAGTCAGTCAAATATGCTTTCTAATCGCTACATGCATTTGAACACTGATTTTTGTCAGCATTCAACATAATGATTTTCGAAAGAAGCAAGGAAGTAATGTCAGAGGGGATTAGATCTTGCTTCATGTCGGATAATCCTCCCCCCACAGTATACTATCAGTTAGGATTTTTCCCTGAAGATCATGCAGGAAGAGTAAACTCTGAGTGTAACAACCAAATTTATTCGGTTATGGTCTGAGCGCAAGAAAACGACTCCTACGTTCTACTGTATAACTGACAAAGCGTCAATGAGACAAGCGCTATCACGAAGTGTTCCAGAGTGGTCATTATCGACCAGATATTCAGTGATCGCACTTCCTATTGCTTCAATTCCACCTCCTCATAACCATGCTGGATAGTGTTCTTGCACCCTCTTGGACAAAACCCTAGTCGAACGAACGATATACCTGGCTTCACACGAGTTTTGGCTATCGAAACAGAAAGTCTACATCTATGTAAACAATAAAAGTTCGTTCAACGTCTTCAACTTTCATGGCCTTAATGCCTCTAAGCTAAAGTATGGTAATCCCTAATAATATTTCGGCCCTACCAATATTTTTTTCATTTTGTCTATTCAATTTGTATACTCTTCCTTTACTACGCCAATTGTTACTATTATTATCCTCGACGTGAATTGTCTCCGGTATTATTTCACTTGTTCCACTCATCATTCTAAATCAATTTTGTTTTGTAAGGTTGAATTCTATGTCCTCAAATTTCACACAGTGTTACGTAACGTTTTTATTCTTATTCTGTCTGCCCAGGTTTTCTATTATCTATCGAAAGTGTAATATATTACCAAAGGCCAAGATCTTTGGTCAAACCAATAGCTGATATTTTGAGATACACCCTTCCCCCATACGAATTGTGAGTTGTCCAAATATTTACCTTAGTTAGTGAGGTTCAACTTATCAGTATACCACCGATTCTCATCGTCCTGTCCACATCAAATATAAGTTCTTTATTTTTTTCAGTTAATCAACTCGAGTCGAAATCACTCATCTAGTCAGTTGGATTTAATAAATAAAAAAAAGAAAGTCCAAAGGAAAAACTCAAGTCAACTTATTCAGGTTAACATCTATATTGTTGTAAAAATAATATCAAAAATGGCTGCACCGTTTACACAAAAAATACACAAAATTGCGGGAAAATTCTTTTTACGGATGACGTTTCGACACATAAACTCGACAGCATACTACAACAATCAAGCTTAAACTATTGGAAAAACATTAAGCGACATAAAAAGTGAATAAGAAAGAAAAACGCAACAGCAAAAAAGCAGGAGCAGCAGTGACAACCACTCAGGATCTATAATCAAAAAAATATCATTATATATAATACTCTGCTTAACCATTATGCATATAATATGCATGTAACCGGGAATAGGTGAATTGAGCATATTGTATACGACTGATGATAGGATATTCCCACTTAGCGATAAGAAAAAAAAAAAGTCTTCAAAAAACTCTATAAAATGTTTTTATGCAAAAATAACAGTAATAATTTTTAAGAAAATGGCGACAGTATTACAAAAATAGATACCACTAGAAAGGTTTCTGTCTCTCTCTCTCTATATATATATATATATATATCTATACATTTCAAAGAGACTGAATCCTGATATAGCTGGACATCTCAGTTAGTGTTTTCTTGTTTTCTTCTTTCGGTCTTTTGTGGTTATCGTTGTTGATGCCTGTTCTGAAACACAAAAAATGATCCCACAAATTTAGAAGATCAAAATAATATAATATTATAAATATAATAGTGATTTCATATACAGTCTGCAGGCATTCTAAACAGTCAACAAGTTGAAGATTCTCAAATTGGTAAGGTTATGTAAAACCATCGCGCCTATATGGTTGAAATCGAATTGAGCCACTCATCACCGTATCCAACGTATACAACTGTAGTAAAGTGACTAGTTTTCTGTTCAACATTAGCCAATGCTCTAACGTGATATCCCTTTACTCAATGTCAGACAGTTAATTTCAACTTCATTCATAAATGTGATCTCAGCGAACTCATTAGCACATACGATGCTTGTAGCTTAGAGGGTGGGCACAAATATAGAGAATAAGTCAAGCATAGAATACCACTGGAATAGTTCTATCCTTTGATATTTTTTGGTCATCTCATATCTTGTCTATTCCTAGGAAAATGTTACGTCTAACTACCTACCACATTAAAAAGGTTAAGGAAATCAAGAATCACTCAAAATCTACTTTGACAGATTATTCACTCTTCAGTCCTACCTATTGTTATCATTGCTCCCCTTTGAGTCTTTTCTGGGCTACTTGGAAAAGATTACGTCATATTGCGAAGGGTACCAATTGTTGCCAATGGGGTAATTTGTGCACTCTTAAGTTGGTCAGTTCGTTACTGTCCTAGTTGACAGACCTGGACAACTCATATGAGAAATGGTCTAAATCCATGTTGTCTGACTGTCAACACCCAGTCCCTCTGTGTTTACAATTCTCCCCAGCTTGTATCTCATTGGGGAGGTCTGGAAGTCAGTAAAAAAGATTATCTACTCTCATTACCAAGTATAGAAACTTAACGATACCCTAAACGTGGTCGGCATTCAAACCCACAAAGTCAATCAGAAACAAGCTTTGTCGGTCAAAGGATCAATCTTGTAAAGCCTTTAAAACAAAACAATTTAGTTTATCTAATACCCTGCTACGATGATTGTCAGGTCAAATACATAGGTCAACTAGTAGAAGAGGGGCAGTCAGAATAGCCGAACATAAAATCTAGCAAAATCTAGATTGGTTGACCCAAATAAGATAAGAAATCTAGAGAATAGTTCAGCCATAGCACTACATGAAGTCACACACAACCGTACAATAGGATGAGATAGGATGACAGTTTCAAAATCTAATGTCACAGGGTGGAGGGAGAGATTGATAACAGGAGCTTTGTTTATCGAATCAACTGCAAATACACGTAATAGGAATGATTCATCACCTGTCCCTGATATCTGGAAAATTCTACCACCCGTACGACAAATAGGAGAAAACAAAGAAAACTATAAAACTCAAGTTTCAAAGACGAGTGATTACAATTGATATGATTATGAACAATAAATTTTGTTCGAAACCTTGTCATCCAGTATACAATACTGTTTCACTGTGTGATACATCTAATAAACAAACTAATATGGAATTACTTACTATAACAGTGGTCAAGTTTTACACATATACGTCCGTAACTCTTTGAGTTAGTTTGACATTAGACATAAATCATCTGCGAAATTCAGATTTCACCTAGCCAGTCACAACTTGGAGAAAGAGGGAGGGTTGAGTGGGGGACTATTGACTCTAATTCGGAAAATCAATCAAAATGCTACAGAAACTTAAATGTATTGTAGCGCCATAAAAAGGCATATACCAAAAGACATGGGCTGCAGTGTACCCAACACGGCAGTAGAATATTAAGTCAATGTTATCTTGGAGAGGCTCAGCAGAACTCTGAATGTGAAATTCTGCTCTTTGAACAAGCTGAATTCCAGAAGAGCATATCATATGACGATCAAAACTGAAACACTACACATCATCATCATAGAATACAATGGTGATCAAATCTTCACCTGAGCTTCATCGATTGTAAAAAAAGTCCTTCGAAAGCGGTAATTGTGAAGTAATTCAGAAAATGATTCAAAACCACGCAGTGCCCCGATCTTTTATTTACTGCTTGCTATATGACATTGCCACATGTCAAGTGACTCGTAATGGAAAACTCAGCGAGGCTTTTGAAGTGAAAACAAGATGGAGTAAGACAAGGCTGTTTGTTTGCTGTCACTGGTAATATTTCTAGTTGTGGTAGGCTTGATCATCTCCTCTGGACCGTGTGTAGCAAGAAGAAGATAAGAAGACTTTAGATGATTTGAAATTCACAGATATCGAAGACCTACAGACAAAAGGCAATAAGTCAGGAGAAGAGATAGATGGCGGTTCCACAACCTCAAAGTGAACAAAGAGAAGACAGAGGTGATGAAGATGCCTAACCAACCAACAACAGACACCAAACAATAACAACGAGGGGAATTTGAAGAAAGTCACGTGTTTCAGTTATCTCGGTGAGGATGTTAAAGTCAAGATCACATAGAAAAGGCCTACAATAATTTAAAATCAATGTGGAAATTTACTGTGTCAAGCATAAATAACAACATTCAAATTTCCAACATGAATTTCAAGTCTTTCAGTTCTTCTATGCGGTTCATAGAACCTGGCACACGCGTCACTGAAGGCATATGAAGCAAGTTACAAATTCTTGTCAACAGCTGAAGGCCACATGGCCGGTCAGAAAGAATCAGTAACAAGAAACTCCGGAACAAATCAATCAAGAGCCTATTGTTCAACAAATGTTCCGATAAAATGAAGATGGATCAGACACGCACTGAGAAGACCATTAGGTGACATCGCACGCCAGGCCATCACTCGAGTGAACCTCGAAATGGGAAGCGACGAGTTGGGAGTAGGTCAGAGAGTGACACGGTGGAGATCGTGTGACAAGGAAATGAGAGTTCATAGACAACCATGCAGTCAGCTAAAGAAGAGTGAAATAATCAAGTGAAACGGACATGTGCTGTAATAGGCCTATGTCTTCCTCGCAACTTAAGGGAATAATCGAGTGATATGAACTTGTCAGAACGACTTGTTTACAAAGACGCTCCGCAAAGTGAAAAGGCGGCTCTGGCGAACAAAATACTAGTCACCACATGTCATCTTCAAATACTTCAACTTCTAATTTAGACTTCAATCACAATGCAATAGACCTACTATATGATGACAGCTTATAGCAGCTGTCCGACTGACAATTTTAGTATGACACAGCATCTCCATGAACAGTCTTCTAGCCAACTGTGCTGATAAAATCAACAGATAATGTCCATAGTGCAATTCTGTGGATATGCTACAGAATGAGTCAACACGACACCCTTGAAAATAGTCATCGTTTGATTAAACCTGTACACTTACCATTTGAAGATGACTCAAACGCTGAAGAGGTAGTAGTGGTATCAATCAAAGCTTGACCAAGTAAACTTGGTATTTGTCTTTGTCCATGGCCGACTTCCTTATTCAGCAGTGGTGTTGATGTGATGTGGAATTCCTCCCCAAAATTAGCAGGCGATTCGTCATGCGAATTAGTCCCTCGTATTGGAGTGACTTCAATAAATCCTAAAGTATTTTCTCTCTTTGAACCAGAAGGTGTGAATGTGGTCAATGATGGATTTGCTTTAGGCGCAGAAGAACCAACACGATTTCTTTTATGGACAACTAGATTTCAAGAAAAAAGTGATACACAGAGAAATGGAACATCGGAAAAAGGTATTGCGTGTGTGTGTGGTTGAAACAAAACACCAGAGTCAACAATTGGTGACCTACAGATAATTTTACAATATCCAGGATCAGATCTATCATTGAATGAGGTGTACAATTACTTCCATTTCAGGATTTTAAAAGTTGTGAACTTCATCCTGAAAGGTTCTTTTTTCCATAATATTAAAACGAGTAACAAATAGTGATGAATTCGGTAGAATTTTACCAGTTAATACTGTTCATACCTTGTTATACACCATTTGTATTATTCCATCATGAGCTGACGTCGGTTAGGAAGCCATAGGAAATCAACCAGGCAGTACTGGAGAGCAGTTTCTACAGTCGTACTTTGAAACACTTCAGAAGTACGCACCCACCAACTTGGGTTGAACTTAGGACCTTCCGGTTAAAGTCAAGCTCGTAGACCGTTGAGTAGCCACTAGGATCCTATCTGGTGACCATCGCATCAATTCCAACTTCTGAGAATTCACCCGCGATATACTGCGACTGACACTAGCCAGTGTCAACATCGGTGAGAATTCTCTTCACACCAGAACCACCGTAATGTTCACAACTTCTCATTAGAACCCATATAGCTACCAACCTGAACAGGGCCAGTCTCTAGTGAGCATCACATTGATATTCAAGTGTCGGTTTGCAAGCGTTTGATTGGCTACAGGATTTCATCATGAACTGACATCGGCTACAGAACCACTGGAAGACCTAGTGGCTGTACTGTATAGTGAATAGGACGAAGTTGGAATTCATGAACTGGCCATTGGATCGGGTCCCAGTGATCCCTTAATGGTCTACGACCACACCTTGTAACCAAAGTTCCTGCGTTCGAAACCTGTTGGGTGTTTCTTAATAAGGAGTCCCACACGAGGACGAGACGGCTGTCCAGTACTCCCAGGTTTTCTCTAACCGATGTCAACTCATGAAGAAGTCTTGTAACTTTTCAGATCTGTGCAAACTAACACTGGAATATGTCTTTATGCTTTGGAGATCTAAACAAGTTCTGTGACTAATCCGTTTCCTTTGTATAAAGCTTTGAGTCCCTTTTATCGTATGAAGGTTGATGATTCCCCTTAGCGAAGCTGAAATGTGTAGGTGAAATAAGAATACGAGTAATTCTAAACTATAGCGACCCAAAAGTAAAACTCAAGTCAACGGACGAAATGACCTCGAACAACTAATCAGATTAGCCCGTTGCGATCACGTTTCAGATTACATCCAGGTCTAGTATTTTAGTACTGGCTAGATAATGGGTTCATAGAAAGCTTGTAAATGTGAGCTAGTAATATCTTTATAGAGGTGTGCAGCCGTGTTGATGGAAACGTGTACAGATGGCCAGGCTATCATTACAGAAAATCTGTCCGTAAAGATATGTCTTTCATATTTTTGAGTTCATGAGTGCTTTACAGCACCCTTTACTAGCACGTACCCACAGGGATTAGAACCCAGGATCTTCTGATTATGAGGCAAACTCATAGACCATTCAGCGACTGGTACTCGATTCAATAGCTGGCCATGGTAGTCAGGCTAAGATCACGAATCGGTGGGGGGGGGCTTGAGAGTTCATGGGCTAAATAGTCATTCTGAAGAATCGTAAACTAGGATGAAACAGCTGTTCAGTACGGAATAGTTTTCTTTTTCAACTTCAGGTATAACTGGAATACTTAGTCAGTATCTTTCCATTATGGGTAAATTTTTGTTTTGATAAAGTCTCACTGCGGTGTTATACAGTAATGTTTGCTAATGACCACGTTTCGAGCACAATTTATTGCCACTCATAATCATATCAAGGTAATCACACGACATCCTAACTTTATTTATATAGTTCCATTATTTTTCACTTGGTTTTCACTTGATGTGATTGGAAAATGAACAAGGAGAATTAGCTATGTTAGATTGTAAAATAAAACGAATAGAAGAAGGTAAACTACACACCAGTGTGTACAGAAAACCAACTCATTCTAATAAATAATTAGAATTTAATTCATCTCATCCGTTAACTGTCTGTGAAGGCAGGCTTGGTTAAGTGTTTAACAAACCAAGCAGTTGCACTAAGTAGCACAAGAAAAGACCTTAATGATGAACTAAAACAGATAGAAGAGGCGTTGTGTTAAATAACTAACTATCCTTTAAAATTCATTAGGAAGATAGAAAAAGGCCAAACGAAAAATAAAAATAATTGTGAAACTAGTAATAATAACATAAATAAGAGAGAATATAAGTCATCTACAGTTCTACCATATAAAGAGGGGACATCTGAAACCCTACGTAGGATTCTAAATAAAGCAGGAATTAGGGTGGCATTTAAACCTATACATTCACTCAGGGACAAGCTCTGTAGGTTAAAGTACCCTGTTGGTTGACCCAATTAGACAAAATAATATAATTTACAAAATACCCTGCAATGACTGTGAGTTAGGTCAACTACATAGATTAAACTAGTTGATCGGGCGGGGTAGTCAGATTGTCGGAACATAAGAATTTAGCTAAGGTGAGAATGGTTAACCCCACCCGAGAAGATAAGTAATTTAGAAAAAAGCTCAGCTATTGCTATGCATGCATGCATTAACACACAACCACACACTATATGGTGGGTGGGAGAGGGTTAAAATTCTAAAAAGTAATCTAGATAGGTGGAGAGCGAGGTTGATTACTGAATCCTGCTCGGTTCATTGAATCTACACCCAACACATGCAATAGGAACGATTCATCACTCATACCGGAAATATGGAAAATACTACTGCCAATCAAATCAAGTGAAAAATAATGGAACTATATAAATAAAGTTAGGAAGTCGTGTGATTACCTTGATATGATTATGAGTGGCAATAAATTGTGCTCGAAACGTGGTCATTAGCAAACATTACTGTATAACACCGCAGTGAGACTTTATCAAAACAAAAATTCACCCATAATGGAATTATACTCTACCACAGTGCACAAGTTTTATTCTTATGTCAGTATTAGTCAGTATCTGGTTTCACAGGTTATAGTTGTCGATGTGGAATTATTTTTGCATGTTGATTGAGGGGTCACAAACGTAAGGGTATCAAAATGGCGCTTATAGTTCGACTTTTTGTCTACACAATCTTTAGAAGTATATATGATTGTCTTATTTTTCCCTTTGTTTTTCAAAACCACACTGCGATTACTTAGATTAGATAATGTGTGATGTTAATGCTAACCACTCAGTGAGAAAATACCCGTGAATAAAAAGGGATTAAGTAAAATCAAGTCTACAACTGCTTACTTCTGCATGGATCACGAGTGTCTAAGAATTCGCTCAACTTCATCCATCCACCGCCTACCCGTACCATAGTGATACTATTCAGGAAACGGACTAAGTAGACTTTCGAACTAGGTCCAAACTACAAAAAAAAATAGAAAAAAGAAGGGAGATATGCGTAGAGTTTTATTAGTGTGTAGTGATCTGCTTCAATTGGATCTCATCAGACCCTAACTTTAGTATATTTAGACAACTTTACAAATTATTATTAAAATATATAAATCAATCACGGCTACTTTATCAACAGAATGATGGGATTATGCATATCACTTGTGCAACTAGTTATAATGATGATGATGATGGTGATACTATCAGGAAGAAGAAAGATGAAAAAGTGAGATGATCTGTGATAACAAGAATAATGTGTGAGAACAGCATGATTAAACAAACAAATGTTGGTGGTGATGATGCTGGTGATTTTATCAGTTGGTTTGGTTTTAATTTGCTGAGGAAAGGATAATGACTGTAGCAATTTCTTTTGAACTCATAGTCAATAATAATAATAATAATTTGCTTTATTCCGAAACAGTATTTGTGATACAGAATGGAATTCTCAGCATTTTACTACAGTATTGCATCCAGTATTTTATATTTTTTATTTTTGATTACAGCTTGATTCCACACTGTATTTTTGGTACAAGTATGGAATTTTCAGCATGGATATTGGTAGCCCAAATTTTGCAGGCCAATCATAGATATCAGGTGTTCGTCGGTGGGGGATCGAACCTAGGACCATATGCATGGTCGGCGAGCGTCCTAACCACTGTGCCACCGACGCATTGAAATTCAATATGCTTATAGGTAATATTAGTTACTGAAGGCACCATGTTTACATTTATTGTGCATTAATAGAGTAGTAGTTATTCGAAGCGAGACAGAAGAATCCCCAAGACCACTTGTCTCTCAATGCTTTTTCGGCATACAGGGTCCACGTTTTTGGACAGACGTTACAGTCCTAAATAGTGGTGATACATTCATGGATAACATAAGTTTGTAACTAATATTAGTCTCAGATATTTTAGAGATAAAGCTAAAGACAACATTAATTCTATATCGGGCATTTTCTTTGTGTAAAGGTCTCAGAATTCAATTCTTAACGCTTCCTAGAAATTCGCCTCACGCGTCACGAAAAGTATTTCAACAGGCTGGAGACTTTTATCAACAGCTGCAACCTTCGCTGTCCCCATAATAAAGGTCAAATGACCAGAAAGAATCCCCAACAGGAAACTAGGGGAACAAACGAACCATCAGCCGATCGCTCAACAAACATGTAGAAGAAAATGCAGATGGATTGGGCATACGCTGAGGCGACCGTTAAGCGACATGACCTGTCAGGCCATTAGTCCGAGTGGAATCTCCGAATGACAAACGACGAGTGGGGCGTTCAAGGGCAACATTGAGGAGCCAGCCAAAAACAGGACTATAGAAAATAGAACAAAGTGGAGACGTACTGTTGCAGTATTATGTTTCACTCGGAAACAAAAGGAACAGTTAAAATAGTAGTCCTCTGTAATATTATTTTTTTGTTTTTTGCTGTAGTGGAGTAAATTAGGTGCAGTAATATTGTGCTAAATGCTGAGAATCCATGCTGTATCGTAAGCAGTATTTTGGAATAAAGCGAATTATTATTAAGACAAGATCTTTGAGACGTAGTCTTCAGATGAAAGAAATCCAAAACGTGGGAAGTACTTTGGTGGAAGGTGACTAATAGTGGAATCCACCATGATGTGCTCTCCACCCGTTCCCCAAGAAGGGCGCTGGTTGCTCAAGTAGTCTGTCTAGTGGATAACGCTTTGGTGTCTGAAACTATAAGCATCGGGTTCGAGCCTCAGTAGGATCACCATCACTGACTCATTGGGGAATCCAGGTAAATCCAACTGATCACAAATCCCAAATAGGACGAAATCCGCATCCTGATGGATTCCATTGCTAGTCATCAGTCATCATCCAGCAAACTACTTCAGGTTAAATTCTTAGTCATCGTCGAAGCATCTTGCACAAAGAGTCGATATATCAACCTGAAGTCAAGCATTTTGGTCCAAACAACCAATCAATCAGTCAATCGGCATTGATTCCAAATTGAATTATATAATAAAAAGGAAAATATTATGTAAGTTAATTAATAATAGAAAGTTTTTTCACTTACACAATATTTATCTGTTCCAACTTTTTTAGGTTGAAATTTTATTTGGCAAATACATTTACTGGTTTCTTGTTCTATTGCACGTGCAATTAACTCATCATTTCGCAGATGTTGCTGTCTGGTTGGCTGTTCCTGTCGTTGTTGTTGTTGTTGCTAAAATGTGTTAGAGAGAGAGAGAGACAGAAAGGAAGGAAAAAAGCTTTTAAACAAGTAAATTAACTAGGCTGTTTTTTAACACTCGGGTGATTATTCTAAAGGCGAAATGAATTACTATACATGTACTGTACTGTATGCAATAATGACCTTCAATTATCCCTTGATTTTATAAAAAAAAATCAACTATTCTCTTTTATACTGTAGTTCAAGTGAGAATTGCGTCAACGCTACAGAGTTTCCGGAATATTTATAAGCCATTTTTAACTACTGTATAATAATGATACCACATATCAAATAAATCACAAATAGAGAAATCATTAAAGCATTTAGAGTGAAGACAGTTCTGCCTACTATCACCTATGATACCCCCTGCTTGTGGTAGATTGCATCAAGTAGGAGACCGTGGGAAGCGAAAAGAAGAGGATACGTCTGACCGAAGAATAGACACTGAGAGATCTGAATTTCGCGGATGATTAACCAAACAACGCCGATAGCGAATGAGACAAACGACCTACTACCCAAAAAATATATATATTCCTTCACGTTCCCAGTGGAACATAGGGCTTCAAGCTAGAGACTTGAAGTTTCTGTAACAGTGTTTATTTTTACAGGATTGGGTTGCTAGCCTCATGTCAAACTCTTCCTCTTTACCAGCTTTTTTATTACTGTTTGGTGAGGAAAATGAGTGCGTTGGTTGCCGGGGATCGAACCTCGGACCATGTGCATGGTCAGCCATCGTCCCAACCGCTATGCCACCGATGCAACCCAACATATATGCAGAAGAAAATGGAAAATAACGTGAAATACTTACTATAAGAAGGCTCGAATGAAAGCAACAGTGTGTTGGTGTCAGTTTGTGTTTGTGTGAAGTAGATGGTGAAAGCCTCTGCACAAACATGAAGCTGGTTAAAGTTTATCTCAGAGAAGGGATTTCAATTGATACCGGAGGGTGTTTGTCATATCCTTAAAGAATGATTAATAGTCTAAACTTTCTGTATTTCTTTACGTTCCAAGTGGAATATAGGGTTTCAAGCTTGAGCTTTGAAGGAATCAAGACGAGATTAGTGTTTAAAGGATCTAGCTTGATCACAAAACAATGACATCTCGAAGTTCACTGGTTTATTGTCGTTTGCACTAAACCTCAGTCTATAACTTCGGCTGGCTAGTAGACTTCATTCATCTCGGCATCAAGAGAAAAACAGATAGTGAGTTATTCCCAAGAAATAAATAACGGGAATTATGTAGGCATAATGCAAGAATTATCTTGTTTTGGTCATTTCAAGACATGAAAATGTCAAAGTCGCCATCATCTGGTAAGTTTAAAACGGTTTCTTTGGTAGGAGTATATACATTACTTGTGAATAGTGGTCAGAAAACATAGACGATGAAACTCAGGGTTCCCTAAAGAACACATAAAACAACTTCTAACAGTCATTGCATTGTATACGGCATCTTACACAGCTACTCACGGGTAAATAGATAAAAATATCATTTATTCCTTGAGTTTGATCAAATATGACTAATTTTCATTACCCTCCTCGGTCTTAAATCGCTTCTGGTTATCAGTATTAAGTGGTATTTTTTGAGACAAGAATTTCATGAAACCGATTGGATTTAAAAGTTGACTTGTAGCCTGTGAGTTTCAGGTTCGTATTTGACTTCACCTAATTAAGCTTGATAGATTGGCTATCAGGATCACACAAGATATAATGGATGTTTCTTATAAATTAAATATCCAAGTAATTGTTCACAATCAAAAATAATTGGAGCGAACAAATGTCTTCAATAAAGTCTCCATCTTCAGACTCTACAATTTTAAATCCATTAATTTCAGCATACAATACTGCCAACAAAGTCAACTTAGTACTATATCAGAAAGCGTATTATGTGTGGTACAAGTTGTGCGTCGGTGGCACAGAGGTAGAATGCTCGCCGACCGCGCACATGGTCCGGGGTTCGATCCGTGGCCGAAACACTCCTTTGCCTCGCTAAGCCGGTAGTAGGGCCGGCAAAGAAGGAAAGCTGGACATGAGACTAGCAATCCCATCCTGTAAAGATAAACACCATTGCTACCTAAATTCCAAGTCTCTATCTTGAAGCCCGATGTTCCACTGGGTACGTAAAGGAATAAAAAAATGTGGTATAAGATGAAGTGATAACCAACTGGTTCTGGTGATCATTTGGAATATGAATGGTAAATAAGACCATGAGATAAAATGAGACGAAATAATTCAGTGATGTAGCACAATTTTTCAATCAAGCCAGATCAGGCGTTCTCGTTTACTCACCGCCTTCCTAGTAATCTGTCTAGAGTAGCTCGAATACCTCTTCTATCACTAGGTGCAGCGGTAGCAATCAGCAACAGAAGATCAGCTCTTTGTATACAGAAGAAATATGTCCAACTGCTACGTTTATATTGGCCTACAATAAGGCCAAAAAAACCTCCATAGACATTAAAACTTTAAATTCATCCTCACAAATAATTCTGGGGAATTACCTACTGCTACACTTTATTTCAATGACAAACGTTCATCTCTAACCTTTTATGACTTCATGACCTTTCTTATGATTTCCATTCCCTTCAGGTTTACGTTGTGCTTTTTGTAACTTGTTATAATATTTACACAGTCAGGTTCATTTCACTCCACTAAATTCATCATATTATTATTATTATTATCTGATAATCATTCACCAATAGTACTTTTGAGTTTACACCACATCATCGTTATTGTTTCACAATCATGATTATTGTTATTAGTCACCCTTAAACTGATGTCTAATCAATCCCACTTGTTGGTTTATTTCTCTGCAGTATTTATATCGTCTCTCGCTCACATCATTAATGATTACACATACCTTCAAAACCTGTAATTTTGTGGACTACATACATATACACACATCATCGAATTACCTCATCTCATTTTATTTAATGTTCTCATTCACCATGCATATTCTAAGTGATCATCAAAACTAACTGACTATTACGTGATATCCGGCTATCGACCAAAGGGCGCGTGTACTGCACGGTAGCAGTCCGCTCCGTCGTCCTATATGGCTGGGAGACATAGCCATTGAGAGTGGAAGACATGAAAAGGTTGGCTGGCTGCCTGTCTTTGATCATAGGTGCCTACGCTCTATCTCCCATGTGAACTAGTATAATAAGGTGAGCAATATTGAGGTTAGGCATAGGTCGAGTGCTAGGTAAGGAGGGGAAATCAATCGATGAGGCTGTGAAATTACATCGACTGAGATGGTTAGGACATGTGTTACGTATGCCTAGTCATCGCGTTCTTCGACTGACGGGCAATGTTAGCTGACATAGGGTTAGGCTGGAAAAGAGCTAGCGGCGGTCAAACCAAAACATGACACCAGTCAATGAAATCTACAACAATTAGTTTAAGCCAGCCACGTAGGAAGGTGTAGACTTCCAGGGTTGGGGTCCTCAGGACGGTAAAAACTAATGACTGGAAACAATTGGTGATATGGCTCAAAATCGTTCTCGATGGTGCAGATGCATCCACTCCTTGTGACTTATGATTTCCAATGAAACTATGTTGTTCTTCGTTATTACTATTCCTTTGTCTCACACCTCTGCTTACTGTCTCTATTATGCATTTCTTGTACTTTCTTCTATTTCTCTGTGTGTTACATGGAGTGTGGCGACTTGAACTGCCGCCCATCGGTGCAAAGTTCTATATCGAAAACAGACAGACAGACAACTGACTACTACTCCATCTTGTGCTTCCACCACACAAAATACACTTCGTCATTTAATCCTAATTTGACTTTATTGGCAATACCGTAGGCTAATATTAATGGATTTAGCCTACGGTATTAATGGATTTATAATTATAGAGCCTAAATGAATAGAATTTATTGAAAATAATTGTTCGCTCTAATCACTTTTGCTTCTTATAAGCTGACACATAAAAATATGTATTTCAATAAACTGAATTCTAATATCAAAATATTAATTAAGTAATTAAGATTGGCAAGATAATGCAACATTATTGTTTTAGATGGTTGAAGGCCGTCGGCAGGAAGCCCTACCTAACTGATCTAGCTGTTGCTTGCTTGTTGGCATTCATCAGTCAACAGCAAATTGTATCTGCAAATTTTTGAAGGGACTCATCGGCATTCTGAGGTTTGAACGCGTGTCGCCCAGTTCTGCAGTCATATTACAGATACGCTTTGTTGGCTAACTAGTGAGTGTCAACAAGCACAAAATCCTGGGTCATTTAGTCCTTGCTGCCGATGCCATCCAACCAATCTAATAACAATATTTCTGAATGCATCATGATGGCAAGCCGCCTAACACATGGTGGCCACACATTACAAAAACTTAGCTGATGTTAGAATTTCAGTCTGTATCAAACATCATGACATTAGTTAGTGTCCAATCAAAGAATACATTAATGTGTGTAATTTATCAACAAAGCAAAAGTGTAAGAATCACCTGTTTTTTATCAGTCAGAGCTTCAATAATTTGTTCATGTGTTATTCTGCCCTTTTTCGTCTTATCAATGGTATCAAATACGGCTCTGATACGCAGAGGATTTGCCCAGTCATATTTAGGTCGACTATGTTGCTTTTGTTGCTGGTGTTGTCGTCGTCGTAGGAGTAAAACTTCCCTAAACTGTGAATAATTTAATTCAGGTGATTTTGAAATATTCACAGTTTGTTTACCCTTTGCAATTGCATGTGTTTTATTCGAACCAGTGGCAACATCGACGACAACATCATTACTACCTAGATTTAAAGATTCACTACTGGATTGTTTCCCAACTGATTTGATGCTTTTAGTAGTAGGCGTAGGAGGTGAGCTATGCCTTGGAGAATTGTTCATCGACTGTGTGGATGACGAGACAGTAGACACACTTTTTGGAGTCAATGATGTTGAAGATGTTGGAGAAAGGTGTAAGTGAAGCTTTGATTTTTGTTGATCAGCTTGAATGGTATCGGTACTGGCAGTAACAGTAGGAAATATATCAGCTAGACGATAGTGACAACTTTCAATCCACTGTAGATAATTACGTCTCCATTCATCGAAGTCAAAATCACTCAAGACGGTACACTATAAGAAAGAAGAGGAGAAGGGAAAAAATTAATCAATATTTAGATTATTTCATGCATTTTTACACAAACAAAAAAGCGAATATTATTGTCTATTAGGAATGTGTTAGTGGTCTAAGCGTTGTATGCTTTTCAGCCACGTCAAAGATCTACGTCAGATTCCTGGTCGACACCCACCCCCCCCACCTAAATATTGAGAGATCATGATAAAACTAACATTTGAAAAGAAGAACAACTTACTCTTGATAGATCGATTCTCTCTTCTAATTCCTGATAAACTTTCTCTGCTAGATTTCGATCATCTGGAGTATTAAATGCTTCCAGAGATTGTCCTAATTTCACACATAAGCACTGTAAGCGTTTATCAACCTAAAAATAAAAGAGTGAAATGATAATTGGTTCACATATTGATATATATATATATATATATATATATATGTATGGTGGCTCTCTCGTTCTGTTGCTCTCTTAGTCTGTGACCATTTCACTTTGATGAACCTGTCTCCTTTAACAATGTATATTCCCCTTATATTATATATAATATGTGTGTTTGTTTGACAGCCTGATATATTTTGCTATGTATATATGGATCGATATTCCATTATAATTAGCCAATCATGTTAAGACTGTCTATTGATTTGTTCATTTTGAATATTCGCTCTCACTTTGTGTTCACACACTTGTTCGGACATTCATATATTTTTGCTCTCACACTCTTGTGGGACATATTGATTCTCCTTGTGTTTGGAAAATAGAAGTATCATCGCAAACCTAGTGGTCTTCTGATTTCCGTCTTTCTTGCGTCAGGACCATTAAATTCTCGACCAGTACATAACAATAATTTGGCGACGAGTACATAATACATATATATGCATGTATATTCATAATGATATCATTAACAATTCATACAGTTTATATCGTTTATTTCGTACAACTTTTCACTCCAGACACAATTGAAAGTTGTCATGACAAAAGAAGAACAATGAAATTTATGAAGGTAACTAAACCACCACTGCATCCATGTATCAATACTATTGATTACTACCATTATTCCCTTGAATGGCAAGTGGGATATAGAGCTTCAAAAGCACATCTCCACTTTGTTCTGTCCACTCGTCCCAAGATTCTTCACAGTCTTCTATTTCCTAGCCCCAAGATCACCTTCATGTCATTCTCGGACTAACGTCCAAATCGTTGCTTCTCATTCACCTTCCACTCGGGGGATGGCTTGTCTGTCTGTTCCATCTCCATTTTCTTCGGAATATTTGTTGAGTAGTAGGTTTTTGGTGGCTTCATACCTAGAGTTTCTTGTCAGTAATACTTTTCGGCTTAACCCTTTGATCTTCAGTATGCAGACAGAGAAGGCAGTTGTTAATAAACGTCTGCAGCCATCTTTTGAAAATGTTTTTCTGATGCCAGTGCCAAGTTTCTGACACAAATAGAAGAAAAACTGACCAACTGACTTAGCATTGGTATTGAAAATCTAAATCCTGTTTTTCATACAGCGCAGTGTAGATTACCAAACTCATTTCAGATTGAGGAATGCCTGCATCACCTTTGCGCTTCTCACTCTGACATCTTCATGTGCCATACGTGCAGTTGACAAAATGGTGACTAGATAAGTGAAGGAAGTGACCTCTTTCAAATTACTCTCATCGGTAGTGGTTGGTGCTGGTTGACTTTGCTAATGGTTGATTGGTAATCTTCATCACCTCTGTCTTCTCTGTTTTCACCTGAATTCCTGCCTTTGTTACCTTCTTCTTCCGCCAACTTGTCGGTTTTCGCTTACACGTTTTCCAGTTTGTGCGCCACTAGACAGAAAAAGTCCACAAAATCCAGACCCGCTACAATCTCCATCTCATTCCAACGTATTCATATCTTCTGCATCCCGAAAAACAGTCTTACGTGGTATCCCCTTCACCACCCCTTCAGCCTTCATCAGTGATAGTATTTAGCCTTGTCCAAATCCTGAATTCACTTCAGAGGCTTCTCTGAATTTTCCGTTGTGGATAACTCAACATGTGACATTGTCATTTACTTGTTGAATGGAGGTTCGCCACACTACGTTATGTAGTGTTGACACAGTTTCCAAATTATTTGACAGTCAACGCTGTCAAAGGCCCGTGAAAAGTCGATGAATTTGAGGTAGGGAGTTGACTGTCATTCTATGCTCTTTTCGCTGACGATGATGTTGATGATACGTAGAGTCCTGAGTACGATCCATACATGATTTGCTTTTTCCAAATCCAGCACCTTCTTTAGGAGAAGAAAGGTGCGGAGTGGAGTTCTGAATACAGTGCATACTTCAGTCTCTGCAGGTTGACATGACTTAATATTTTCTTCGTGTGGGATGAGAGCATGATTTTACACCAGTTTCTGTAAATGCCATGGTCGACCTTCTTAGGTAGTAGCCTTTCTTCGCGCGCCTTTCGATTAAGGGCGTTACTTTTTGCAGTAATCTATAAAACTTTCATTTCTTTGCTATTGCTCACCACGAAGTTCTGGAAATTATTGAATTCCGTTAACTTTCGAACGCTTAAACCCTGGATATACTATTATTGACTACTAATACCTATGACAGAGTTTTTGGACATTTGTATCTTTTAACAACAACCCATATGTAAAATTGTATATATTATTGGATTTATATGTTCAAGTTGACCCAAGTCAGTGAGTCTGTGATTTTGGTATCTTTTTAGTTAACTGTGCTGAACTATATTGCATGTTGTTTTATTGTATCGTTGCTGTCGCTTTTTGACCTTTTTGCTGTGAATTGTTTTCCTTTTGTTGGTGTTGTTCTGATTGTTTTATCCCGTGTTACCTCATTTTAAGGGGAGCAACCCAAAAGGTCGCTTCTCTCTAAACTTTATCTTAATGTAACCATTCCTTTCTCAGGCGTGAGGCTAGCAACCACACCCTGTAAACAAAATCGCTACAGAATCTTCAGCACGATGAACTTCTTTGCACCAAAAGAAAAAGTCTGTGTGGGGACATTGAACGTCTGCACTATGTACGAGACACGGAAAGCTGCCCAGATCGCAACGAGATGAAAAGATACAGAATCCAAGTGCTGGGAATATGTGAAAGCAGATGGAATGGGAATGGACTCACCAAATTGTCAACGGGTGAGTCAGTGATCTACTCCGGTCACCCAGAAGGTAACCACACGCACACCGAGGGCGTGGCTATCATGATGTCACCAATGGCAAAGAAGGCCCTGATGCAATGGGAGGCGATCTCGTCCAGGATAATGACCGACAGATTCAACTCCAAAGGAAGGAAAGTGTCAATTATACAATGTGATGCACCCACAAACAACGCAGACCCCGAAAAGAAAGAAGAATTCTACGGACAACTACAGGCAACAATGGACGATACTCCAGCTGGCGACATGAAAATACTAATGGGAGACATGAACGCCAAACTGGGACCAGACAACACAGGAAGGGAACTCATCATGGGTAGAGAAGCTCTAGGAGAAATGAATGAAAACGGAGAACTCTCCGCCGACTTCTGCACCTTCAACGAACTAGTGATTGGTGGCAGTGCATACAAGCACAAAGATATCCACAAGGCTACATGGGTGTCACCAGACGGGCAAACCAAAAACCAAATCGACTTCATCTCAATCTCAAGGAAGTGGAGGCGCAGCCTACTGGACACAAAAGCAAGAAGAGGAGCAGACGTTGGCTCAGACCACTACCTCGTACAAGGGACAATCCAAATCAAATTAAAAGCTTTCAGGGAATCAGGAGCTGCAGATAGACCACAAGCCAAGTTCAACACTCAAAAGCTGAAGGACCAGGCTACAAAAGACATCTTCATTGCAAGCGTAAAGGACAAAGCCAAGACACAAATCAACACCAGAGAAAAGGTCAGAGTCGAAAAGCACTGGAACAACTTGAAAACGGTGTGGAGCCAAACCTGCATGGAAGTTCTAGGTAGAAAGAGGAGGCAGGACAAACAGTGGCTCACTATGGACACTTGGAGACTGATAGAAGAGAGAAGGATGGTAAAACAAAAGATTATCCAGTGCACTGACGAGCAACAAAAACAGGAGTTGAATTCAAGCTACTATACACTGAAAAAAAGAGTAAAGAAGAGTGCCAGAGAAGACAAAAGAAAATATTATGAAACCATGGCAAACGAAGCAGAACAAGCTGCAGGCAAAGGAGACCTCGCCACACTCTACCAAACAAATAGGCACCTATCGGTAAAATGTTCGACACAGATTAAGCCACTAAAGGACGACAATGGAAAATCAAACACCAAAGAGGTGGAACAAAGAAAACACTGGGATGAACACTTCAAAAGACTTCTAAATCGTCCGCCACCTACAACGCGCCCAACAATACCAACAACGGAAGCAGAACTACCAGTGAACATCGACCCTCCGACGAAATCAGAGGTCCTTAATGCAATCAAGATGCTGAAAACCGGAAAAGCAGCAGGACCAGATGGAATCCTAGCGGAAGCATTGAAAATGGACCCAGAGACAACAGCGGACTTGATGACACCACTACTGGGGAAGGTGTGGAAAGAGGGCAAAGTACCCGATGATTGGATGAACGGATACTTATTCAAACTACCAAAGAAAGGAGACTGAAGTCAATGCAATAACTGGCGCGGAATTGTGCTCCTGTCCATTCCAAGCAAAATACTAAGCCGCATCATCCTGGAGAGAATCAAACACGTCCTGGATGAAAAACTTCGACCGGAACAGGCTGGATTCAGGAGAAACAAGTCATGTATTGATCAAATCGCCACTTTACGAATCATCATTGAACAAAGCTTGGAATGGCAGTCACCCCTCTATCTCAACTTCATCGACTTTGAAAAAGCCTTCGACAGCGTCGATCGTGAGGTGATTTGGCAACTACTTCGCTACTACGGGGTCCCATCGACAATTATACATCTCATCCAACAGTTATACGACAATGCTGCATGCCAAGTAATCCACAACGGGAAACTTACGGAAGCCTTCGAAGTGAGCACGGGAGTGCGACAAGGCTGCCTACTATCACCAATGATTTTCCTGATTGCAGTAGATTGGATAATGCGACAGACAGTGGCGGGCAATGAGGAAACAAGCATAAAATGGACTCACACAAAAAACTTGGAGGATCTGGACTTCACCGATGATATACGTCTGATTTCCCACAAACTGGAAGATATGCAAGTGAAAAGTAACAAGTTGGCAGAAGGAGCATCAAAGATAGGGCTTCATGTGGACATAGATAAAACAGAGGTGATGAAGATTCCTGGCCAACAGCAACATCACCACCAACAACAACAAAAGACAGCAATCAGCATAAATGGGAGGTATCTTAAAGAAACAGCCTCCTTTACCTACCTACCTACCTACCTGG